CACTAAAAAAAGAATTTGTATCAAATTTTTAAAATATTTTTTATCAAATTTTCCATTTATTTTAAAAGAATGCACACCTTTCATTAACTCCATTGTTTTTAGCTAAATGCATTATTTTCCCGTTTGTTATTTGCACATTTTATATAAATATGATAGTCTTAGCATAGACAAAGGTATAAATTCTGGGAAATCTTAGTAAGACATTTCAGTAAAAATGTGCCTGATAATATGTTGAAAAAGCCATTTATTTAGCTAAATGTGACATATACTTGACTAGGTATGACGTTTTAAAGGCCCATTATGCTTTTATTTGTTTTTCTGAAAAACTTTTTTATTTTGATGTTTTTTCTATATTAACCTAAAAATACACATTGGCCAATTACCTGAACCATCTTTTAATCTGTTGCTTTTTGGCAATGATGAGTAGAGTTATAGTGAATTAGTATTTTATATGGAAGTCAAATACTACAGTGTTTGAACTTCTTTTATGATAAATAATTTCACATTTATCGCTACTTTATTCAGGTAACAAGCATCTTACATTTCTCTGATACCAGTATTTTAACATTGCAAAATTCATGTTGCTCTTTCTAAAGAAGTATGTAAGATTTCCCATAAAAAAGCCTCTGGCGAACGGTTGTTACGGAGCTTACAAAAACCCTTAAGTTTGTTGATAAGTGTAAAACAATATTTATAGTCCGATCGAAAAACTTGATGTTTCACCAGAACATTGCAAAAGAGTATATTTATAGTTCTTTAGAAAAAATATTAACTTCATTTTATTTCATTCCCAACATATTTAAAATGGGGCTCAATATGGCATCAAAAGTTATCAAGTAAATGATATTTTTCGCAGCATCTTTAAATTCTAGGAATATACAATTCCTGTATTAGAGTATTTTGAACGGTGGCATAAAAGTGACATTTGAGCCGCGTCACGACAAAACCAACATAATGGGTTTGCGACCAGCGTGGATCCAGACCAGCCTGCGCATCCGCGCAGTCTGATCAGGATCCATGCTGTTCGCTTACCAACTCTATTACAAATGGAGAAACTGACAGCGAATAGCATGGATCCTGATCAGACTGCGCGGATGCACAGGCTGGTCTGGATCCATGCTGGTCGCAAACCCACTATGTTGGTTTTATCGTGACGCGGCTCATTTTGTTTTTCGTATATATTTTTTGTTTGTTTGTCGTACATATTTTTTTTAATTTTAAATACATACTTTTTAGTTTTGCATACATATTCTTTTTTAGTTTGCATACATATTTTATTTTAGTTTTGCATACATATTCCTTTTTAGCTTGCATACATATTTTATTTTGGTTTTGCATACATATTCTTTTTAGGTATATATATATAGTCCGCGGTAACCCAAAGAAAGTTTCTGCATATGGTCTCGATGTGGTTAACATTGTCACAAGGTGCCTTAAAATCCTTCATGGAGTTTCGGAGATAAGGAGCGGACATGAAACCCAAGTCTTTATCCTTTGACCTGTAGGAGTGGCCCCGACCTTGGTGCGGCACACCTGGCATATATGTTCTGCACATTATATGGATGTGCTAAAGAATTTACCTAAGTTTCATAATTCTCAATTCTCAGGGGATGGGGTTGAGTGGTGCATATTCATGGAATAATAACTGATCACCAATCAACAGCCCTTTCCAAATAAACACTAATATAATAGTATATAATAATAAAAAAATAATGATATAAAATTCATATAATATAAAAGAATGGACCGAAAAAGGTCGGCCGAAACCAGACTTGCCCAGCCGAAAACGATTGGGCCGATTTTAAAAATGGGCCGAAATGTGACCAAACCACTGTGCTTTATAGTTATGAGATTTGAAGGCTGTTTTGATCGGCTAAAATATGTATGAAAAACAAAAATAAAATATGTACGAAAAACAAAAATAAAATATGAATGCAAATCGAAAAAGATATGTATGCAAAACTGAAAAAATATGTATGCAAAAATAATATATATATACAAAACTAAAAACAAAAAAATGCAAATGTCACTTTTATGCCACCGTAATTTTGTTATATGAACACAATTTTTAGATATTTCAAATGGTAAAATTAATGAAAATTTTATCACTTAAGCATCATAAAGTATTGACCGCCATCTTGAACTCCACCTCAAATATTCCAATGTCGCAGATTAAAAATAAGTCAGTACTCAGTATTTAAGCAGAACTCAGATGACACCTTTAGACCTCTTGAACCCAAAGTGCGTTGATATGTAGCATATTAACGCACTTTGGGGTCAATTTCTCGATTTTGACCTCAAAGTGCGTTGGACCCCAAAGTGCGTTTGACCCCAAAGTGCAGTGTTACAAGGCCGGATCTACACCTAGTCAAGTTTTTAGATAAGCTGAATAAATGGCCATTTCAACATGTAATCAGGCACAATTGTTACTACAATGTCTTATTAAGATTTCCCAGAATTTGTACCTTTGTCTATGCTTAGACTATTATATTTCTATAAAATGTATAAAAAAAAATAAACGGGAAAATGAAGCAATAAGGTAAAAACAATGGAGTTAATAAAAGGTGTACATTCTTTTGAAATCGATTGTGCAAATGGAAAATGTGAGAAAAAATATATTTTGAGCTTATTAATTGATACAATTTTTTATTTGATGGAAGTTCTTCACTCATTTAAAATCCCTATTGATTCTACAATGATTCTGGGCACATGTTTTTTGTATATTCAATACCTTGATTTTTGTTTTACCACTGGCTTTGACTACAATATATTATTAAAAACATCATGATAATTCATTTTATTGATTAAATTTTTATGACCCAAAAGTGCGGTCGCTTGTCTGATGTTAAGAAATGCATATGTACCTGTTTAACGCACTTTGGGGTCAAAATTGGACCCCAAAGTGCGTAACGCACTCTGGGGTCGGACCCAAAAGTGCGTTTGACTCCAAAGTGCGGTGTTACAGAGTACCTACCTATTGATCTACATCACTCAAGTTTGAATGGGTACATGAGGGGGCTGCACTTTCTTTGTGTGACGCTATATTGTGGCCTGCCACAAACAAACAAAATGATTCTGCAGGGAGATCACTAGATGGATATAGATGAGTGAATTCTGTTAAGTTGGCTAGGATAATGATTATAATTGATAATAACCGAGATGTTCCGATTGACTTGTATACAATGTCAATAGCACCGAATTTTTAAGATGCCGCCTCTCAGTGTTCATTTTTCTTTCTTTTTTGTAATAAAATATTATTTTTATTATTTAAAGAAAGGTTATCTTAAATTTAAATGTAATAATTATCTTATAATAATGTCTAAATATAGCTGCAATCTCATTGGTCCAAACAGTAGTCAACAGAACCTTTTATAAAATCATATTCACCTGGTGTACTGTCATATTCACTGGCTGAATTGGATTTTCCCAGTCTAAAAATAGATTGAGACTCATATTCAAGAACCATACGCCGTATAAAAATAATTGTTGAATTTCGTTCTTTATGGCATATTTCTTATACTTAAAGGCTACACCGTAATGATGAGTATAAACTTGATTTACTTTTGTATGCGCAGCGTTCGCGGAGTCGTTGCACGCCTAACACGTAAGTTTTTTCCCCTCGCTTCAACAAGGAAACATATGTACATGTATATTAAGGTTATCCTTTTTGTGATTTTTTTAACTCTTAGCCTATTCATATAATAAAACAATTATTGACTAGTGAGCCATTGAATATGATGTGATATTCACCGGCAGATGACATATTGACCGAGGCGATAGCCGTGGTCAATATGACTTTCTGCCTGTCAATATCACATCATATTCAATGGCTCACTAGTCAATAATTGTATATAATTAAATTTAAACTTGTCTCTTTAGTTACTTCAGAGAATGAAAATGATCCATACGAACAATGCTTTAATAGAGATACATTACTTCTATTTAATTACATTTAAATCCCTGCCTAGAGGTATCACAAATATATTTTTAAGTGAACCCCAAGGAGGTACATGTAGAGTAAGAGTTTTTCTTAGAGTTTGGAACTGGCCAGAATCGCAAAATATTATAATATAATTATTAAGTCAGGAACGTAAAATATAATATGCCAGAAACGTAGGCTATAATTTAGGTCATAATCGCAAAAGATAATATAGGTCAGAAACGCAAAATACTAGTACAATGTGGTCAAAACGCAAAATATGATATGATAAGAAACACAAAATATAAAATAGGTCAGAAACGCAAAATATGGTAATTTTGCACTAGACTAACCGCATAAATTAAAGGCTCTAAAATAATGTGAATTTTATGACAAAATTTGCGATGCGACACACAAGGTACATAAGACGTAAAAAGTACAAAACGTGCCTATTTAAAAGTGTACAGTCTGAAAAGTTCACTTAGATGTAATTCGTCTTTTATTCAAACGCTAGCTATATATAGGAGATATCTGCATCTTTTACATTCATTAGTTAACTAATTTATTCTAGTTCAATTGCGTTTGAAGCTATAGGCTTATTGAAACGCTCTAGAATCCGTTCCTGTAATCAACCAGTACCAATCAATGAGTATAAAATTTCTTGCTGGCTTGTCCCTGAAGGGGTTTGAAACCATGCGACCAGCATACCTTAGATTACTAGTACTTGTAAGTACGAGTTAACTTCTTTGCAACGCTGCCACTCACAATCGTTAAGCCCATTAAAATATTTAAAAAATATTTCTATAGAATAAAATAGTAAAACATAAACATTCAAGGCCCGCTTTTTATTTTTAAATGACTGCCAATTAAGAACGTCATTGCAAAAAAGAAAGAAAAAGAAATGAATAAACCACTCCAAATAAATGAATACTTGACTGCCATTACCAAAATTTGAACAACAATTTATGTAATTTACCAGATTTTTGCTCTCTTTTTTTCAAGTGCCTCAAGTACCAAAATAACAAGTTCAGCATAATTATCGCAACCGGATAGTTATTTAAATATGACTGACATCTTGATATAGCTAACAAATCATAACTTTTGTTAAGAAAGGAACTGGCAATTTGATGTTAATATAAAAAATAATTATTCAGGCAGTAGGATTTATATACCTTAAACATTAAATAAGTAAATAAGCACCTTCATGCCAAAAATGAAAGTCGCATTTATCATCCTGCTGATAGTCGGAATATTTTACTGTTCTGCTAATGACTTGAGACTTGTGAAGGAAAGAGTACGATATTTAGAGAACAGAGTTAATTCAGAATCAAAATTCAGACATGATGATTACTCCGAAATAATCTACAGATTGGAAGAGATAGATAAAGTATTGAATACATCGCTTGATAGCAGAGTAAGCCGCTTCAATGAAGTGCCAAAAGAAACAAGCTCTAGAGCTATTGAACATCTAAAAGCAGACTTCACACGAATTAGAAAAGCATTTGGCGAGGAGAAGACCGAAACGGCAAGGATTCGGAGGGAAATTCCTAGCTTAGGAAATGATCTTAAAGCAGTTCAAGAGGAAGTAGACAACTATTGTAAAATAAGTTTAAACAAGACAGACAAGGTTATTTCGAGATTAGAAACAAACACATTGATGATATCAAAAGTCAGTGCAAAACAGATTGCCGATGACATTGAAAACAAAACTGTCTTAAGCAATAAAAGAGTTGATGCTATAGCAGCAAATGTGGAAATAAATAAAATAAATATAGAACGTGTATACTCGCTGGTAACAGTATTATCAACTAACATTAAAACTTTATTAAGACAAAATTCAATGTCTTGTATTGAACTACTCAGTAACGGGATCACAAAAAGTGGTACATATCAACTACGGAACGGACTTGTGGTTTACTGTGACCAGATTACAGATGGTGGTGGTTGGACAGTATTTCAGAGAAGACTCAATGGACAAGTAGATTTCTATCGTAACTTGGCTCACTATAAAAATGGATTTGGCGATCTTAATAGTGAGTTCTGGCTCGGTAATGAACATTTAAGTTCACTAACAGCAGGTGGAGAACATGAACTTAGAATAGAGTTGGAAGATTTTGATGGAAACAGTGTATATGCCAAGTATAGCAAGTTCAAAATTTATCCAGAAGAAGACAACTACAAACTGAAGGTGAGTGGATATAGTGGAACTGCCGGGGATGCCCTAGATTATCATAATGATATGATGTTCACGACGTTTGACAGAGACAATGATAAACATACAATAACTTGTGCTGTTGAGTATCATGGTGCTTGGTGGTATAAAAGATGCTTCTATTCAAATCTCAACGGACAGTATTCCGAAAAAAGTCAAAAAGGAATTAGGTGGAACAAGTGGAAAGTCTCAAGTTTAAAGAAAGTAGAAATGAAATTCCGTTAGCACTTCTAGAAAATCTACAAGCAATGCTACTGCATTCATCTATGTTTCTCCAGATTGTTGTCAGAATTATTTCCTTGGATTCTCTTGATCATCATAATAATAGAATGATGTTTTCAACGTTTGACAATTACATTATTGTTATTATCATCATTATTATTATTATTATCATTATTGTTAATCTATGTTAAAATCCATTATATAAATATGAAAGCGACGTATGTTTATTTTCATATTGAAAAGGTTCTTTATAAATGTTTCTTACCAATGAAAGAATGTATATATGCAAGCTCGATAAATAGATCAGCGTTTAAGATACTAAACAGTTTTGACGGAAACTGTATAAAACGTTTAAATCCATGTTGAAAATCATAAAAGAAACAAGCTGGGGACATGTACATGTATATCTAGGAATGACTCAAGTCCCTGCTGACAGAAAAGTGGAGGCGTATTTACATCTGCTCATCGAAATCGATGTTTTTATTGTGCTTAAACCTCTCATAGTTTTAACGTGTGTTTGTCTAGTTAAAAAGAAAATTCATTTTACACTTATTTTGCAAAGAAAATTCTTTATACATTTGTCTAGTAAAAAAGAAAATTCCTCTTAGATTTGCCTTGTAGGGTTTTGTGTACATGTTCAAACCAAACTGTTGTGTGTATATTCTGAAGAACCACCTTATTTCCTACAAAACTTCTACAAATAAAAACTAAAACACTCGAATGCAATATGCGAGAACGCTTGTATTTAGGGACAGTACACAAGATGACATAATAAACGTGCAAATACATGTATAGCATAAAGCAATAAATATTGTAATTGGTTAATAAATTTTATCTCTGTCATATAAATGTTTTGCAAATCGTGGTCGACTCGTCCAGGAAACACCAAAAACAAAAAACCCCTTTTAAAGTTTTTGAAATGATTTCAGTGTTATTTAAGGGAAAATAGTTTTGGAAACCTGTGCCCATTTGCCATCACAGGAAAGTGACTGTCAAATACCAACGAATGTTGGGCCTCATCCTTGCAAAACATTTAACATTTATACAAAACGATGTAAAATGTCTACACTATGTTTCCGTTAAAAATTAAACAATACATTTTATTTAGGCAAAGCTTGTACGCTTTTAAAAAAATTGTACTTTTCACAAAAATTTTGGCATTGAATTTGAATGTGTGAGTGTCCCTAGGAGTTGCTCGCTAGAAACTGATTTCCGAATATGAAAACCCCGATTAAATACAGCTCGAATCATTCGAGCGAACAATGAATGTATATAAACCGGTTTTGTATTAAAAACGCTAGTACAAAGGTACTCATCTATACGTTGTAACGATGAGTACCAAATATTCTGTGTAGTTTCATTATTAATAAAGTATTGTAAAATTTACAAAATTTCCCAACTGTATTGTAATCTTAAATAAAATCGCTTTGATGTATTATAACCTTTCTATTATTTGATTTGTTTCATATTTTAAACAGTTTCATATTAACGACCTTAAAGCTGCATGCCTCCGGACGAGCCGAAATATTTCAAGAAAATTAAATTTGAGAAAAATGTACATGTACTAAAATTTTAAGAAAAGTAAAATGTTTCAAGATTCTAGCAATGATTTACAGGTTATAGGCAATTAAAGGTTGATTTTGGGGTATCTATCATCATATTTATACAGCGTTACTAACACAGTAAGGATTATTTTTGCTTATTTTCACCTCTATTTGGTAATTTATGTGGATTGCAATAGCAAGTTTGCAATGGGTAAATTATTTTCTTTTTTCACTTCACAATATTTTACTCTTTTTAATACATTTTTAAAATTTTCATGAAAATCAGCATGAATCTGGAGGCATGCTGCTTTTAGCACAGAAAAGAAGAAAATAAAATGGTTAACTGTTATGCTCTTGTGTCGAGCTAGTGATAACAAAAGACCTGGTCTCAGTAAACAGATTTTATTCAAAATATTTTAACAAATACATGTATATTACCATATAAAACATAAATATTATTAGTTGGACAAGTTGCTGACTGGAGAATATAGCCTGAATGAGATAAATATTACCCGAGACGCTAGCCGAGGATTATATCTATGTCAGCTAGGCTATATTCTCCAGTATGCGCAAGCCAAAGATTATATTTGTATCAGCACGGTTATATATTCCTGTACATGTATACTAAAAAAATAACTGACATTAACTGATTTTTCTCATTTTAATACTCCTGTTTATATAGTCCGCAACATGTATAAAAAAATTATAACTTAAATTGTTATTGACAGCAAGTTCATAATAAAACCACAGCATCTTTAGACTGTTTCCAACAAAGCACTGGAAAAAGACACTTGTAAATAAGATAATGCCAGACATTCAATGACAATGGGGACGCTGCAAAATAAAAAGTAAATAAAACCTGAACAATTTGACGTTTATTTTCATAAATTATTCAATGTAAGATATCATGCAATATCTTAGCAAGATTGTAAGGGGGGTCTTTGAGCTTATTGAACCACTTTTAAGTCAGCTTCCTAAAACTTACCAGTACTGATGTCATATGGAGAAACACTGTAGCTCCAGTAGGACTTGAACCTATGATTTCTGGGTTTGAGATGCAAACATCTTAACCACTGGGCTGAAACTTACCAGTACTAATGTGGTATGAAGAAACACTGTAGCACCACTATGCCATACCTTGCAATAAGTGCAAACCACGGATCAAACAATGAATGGTCTGCACTATTCACTGTTCCACGAAACATTGTGTACTTTTTTTGAAATTTTCCTAAAAATCATGCAATGTTTTATCCAGATTGAATGATGAACAAGTATATTAGATATTATATAGTGAACAAAGTTTTGTTTTCTCATGGGAGATTTAACAGTTTGAACTGATATCCTTCATTTCGTGCTCTCTCTAGTAAACGTCTAGATTCAAGTATAAAAGTTGAATAGTTGATACTTGGATGTTTAAGCACAAGTTCTTCTATTGTTTCTAAGGTAACTCTATCACAACGAATAAGACCAAAGTAATCCAAATATTTGCAGGAAAGGGAAATCGCTCTTACACCACTGTCTGTTACTTCCTGGCACCAGCCAACATCAAGAGCTTCTAGATTTGGACAATACTTTGCAATATCTTCAAGACCTATAAAAGAATACAAAAACATTCTTTTTGGTACACAAAAACTGTTACAGACACTTTTCCACATTTAATTGGTGATGGAATACCCAAGAGGTCCCCACATAAATGTGCATAAACAGGTGTCTGAATCAAACAAACAACCTTTAAACATGCAAGCTAAATTTCATCCAAACATGAATGAAGCACATCCCTGACCAATTTCAAATTCACAGTCAGTTTTTATTTTATTGAATTTTAAGTTGCACCAAGACAGTATTCGTCATATGGCGTCTTTCCAGCTTTACTCGTGGAAGAAGACCTCGGTGCCCCTCTCTGCATTATTTCAAGAAGAAACAGCTACCAGAGTAGAACCACCAATGTTTCCTAAGTTAGCTCGATATCTTTCTCATATGAAAAAATCTGAAGACACTTGCCGGCTCGAACTTCCAGTGGTAAGAGGCATATGGTTTGAATTCAATGACCTTTACCACTCAGCCATGGATGCCCCTGTTTTAAGTTGATAAATTTAACTACATGAGGCCACTGAGGCTATATAAAAATATTGGCACAATGTATATATCTGGATAACTGTATACATAGGAACACCATAGAGATTGATCCCAGTGACCTGTTAAGCTCATAAGTGTAGTGCTCAATGCAATGCAGAGTACCTTTACATTGATTCACATCACTCAAGTGTAAATGGGTACATGAGAGGGCCGCATTATACTTGTATGGCCATTCTTTGTGGGCCGCCACAAACTGACTGAATGATTCCGACGGGAGATTACTAGATGGATGTAGCAGCCATTTGAATATGGGTTAATTCTGTAAAGTTGGCAAACATGCTTTGTGTACATATCTAAGACCATAATCATGCAATAACTATTTTATATCTAAAATAAATTCTCATCAAAACTTACCTTTATCAGTTATACTACAGGACACACAATATAACCTTTTCAATACTGGCAGATTCTTGGCAAGCTGGGATATACACTGGTCATCCATCAATGTGTTTAGAGATACATTTATACACTGTAGATTTTTACAGAACTTGGACAAATACATCACGGAGTCTGATGTCAACCGAGGAATGTTCGACAGGTCAAGATTTGACAGTTTTCTTAACTACAATAACAACAATAGCAACAGATATAGATATAAAATAAAAAAATTTTATAATTGCAAATATGTGCATGTGCAATGTCATTTCAAATAAATTTGAGGAAGCTTTCTAATTTAGAACGTGGAAGGAACAGAGAACTCAACACATGTTATTTTTCAACAAAGGCTGGATAAGTAATTAAAAGAGATCCATTTAAAAACTATTTGTGCAAAAACTCACAGTACATGTAATTATAATACAATACTATTCTGATGTATGAAATCATTTCATTGTTTATGCAAAAACAACACAATATGCATCGATGAGTAACTTCCCCTGAGTTAGCTCCCTTGAAATACACAGACTAGTAAGACTTGCAGAGTTTCTTCCCTTTAAACAACTTAAATCAACATTAAAGTGACTGTCAACAAAAAGGAAACAGCATATGAAATATCAATTCAACCCTTTAACCTCCCGGAATCAAAAGAGATGAGGCAATATACAGTATATTTAACTACCATTAGCTTAGTACTGGTTGGTTCCAGGAACAGATTTGAGAGTGTGTCTGTTTCAGGATCTATAAGATATAAGCTTCCTACACATTTTATTGTTTATGAAATCAACTGAGTAACTTCCCCTGAATAAGGTCCCTTGAAATACACAGACTAGTAAGACTTGCAGTGTTGCTTCCCTTTAAACAACATTAAAGTGACTGTCAACAAAAAGGAAACAGCTTCTGAAATATCAATTCAACCCTATAACCTCTTTGAATCAAAAGTAATTAGGCAATAATGAATATACAGTTTATTTTACTATCATTAGCTTAGTACTGGTTGGTTCCGGGAACAGATTTGAGAGTGTGTCTGTTCCAGGAACAGATTTTTGTGTCTACTGTATAAGCTATAAGCTTCCTACACAAATGAACTAAACTAAATTCTGTATAAGCCAAATATCAATGATTCACACTTAACATCAAGTTACTTATGTCTTGTTTATATCACTTACTTTAGAGAGGTATTTCACTCCAGTATCAGTTATTCCGCAAGACATCAGATTGAGGTATAAAATTTCTGGACAACCAAGAACTATCTCTGACATGGCTGTATCGGTAACCTATAACAAATGAAAAAAAATTGATTTTCATAAAACATTGTTTTTTTCATGACAATTTGAATTAATTTTAGAAACATAAAGATCATTAGGCCCACTTTTCTGCTTAAAAAATTAGGGAATACCCCCAGCTGGCACCACAAATTAACCTGCTGCATAAGTTACTCAATGAGGCGATGCATCTAACATTTTGGAGAATGGTGTCTTGCTGGACTACTTTCTTCTAAATTCAACAAATACATAAAATTTTAGGAGAAGTCTTTCAAATTTTAATGTAAAAAAAATATAATAATGTGAATACATAGAATAAATAGAAAATTCAAGTTATTACAATAAATACAGGATTTATTGTGGTACGAAATTATCATATTTCACTTAGGACTGGCCTAGCCACTCATGAAATATTCATTTTCATACCTCTTGATGCAAATAAATCCTGTATTTATAAAAAAGATTGAATATCCTCTATAAATTTATCACATACCAAAATAAGAACAGTTTACAGTACAAAAAAGTTTGTTTTTTTCATTGACAAGTTTATATACTGTAACACAAACTTTAAGCATGTCTTTATGTTGTGTTAACACGATGCATATGACTTCACTATAAAATATGTGCACAGCCATGCCATATTGATTTTACAGAGTCACAATCACGGTCCAAGTATGTAATTAAATCAGTTACTATTCAGTTGATGTATGTAAATATTTCATTTGACACCTTTATAAAACTGCACATTTGTTAACGTCGCTTTTTGGATAATCATAAAATTTATTTAACAGCTCAGGGTTATATGAATTTATAATGCTGTAAACTTCCTTTTTTAGAGAAAAAAAAATTACTTCATAAATCGACAGCAGCCGTGAATTTATATTAAATAAATTTTATGATTATCCAAAAAGCGATATATCCTCTATATATTTATCAGTTCACATATCAAAATAAGAACAATTTACAGTAAAAAAAAAGTTGTTTGTATAATTATACAAACAACCATTTATATATGGTCATATAACCTGTCAAAAATCTTTTTCAATTATATTATACCTGGCTACAGTGGTCAAGTTGAAGGGTAGTTAACCTTGGGCAGTTCTTTGCTATTCCAATCAGGCTCGTGTCGGAGATCCGCGTGCATTGATTTAAATTCAAAATTCTCAGCCGATGGCAAGCTTTCGATACCTAAAATAGATAAATGAATTTTTTTTTAAAATGTGTAGCATAAAACCTACATTTAATTTATCACTTCAAAGGATATTACAGAAAAGAAGAATTTTAATCAAACAGTGTTTATTACAATAAACATGAATATAAGGTGGACTTTAACTTTAACTATCAAATCTTATTTATTCCTACTATTAAACATAACATGTATTTGAAACTACTACAGTAGCCAGAAGTTTGTGTGATGTATGACAAGATCAAACCACTTCAAGATAGGAATCAAAACTGAATACTGCAGATACATGTTACACATGCACTTCGGACAATAAATTGTTAGGTGCTAGGTGAGGTGTGACATATGATGCACATATGATCCTTACATTAGTGCAGTAAAGGTTCAACTTTTTCTACAATTTATTGAAGTTAACCTGTTTCTGCACTAAGGTGATATCATGAACATCCTCAGTCAAACAAGAAGTTACCTAAACCAAAGTGTATTACCAACACTGATGACTAGGTGAGTAGGATAGCTCGACAATTCTTTGAATACTCAAATAGAATAAAATACCTTATTTTCCCAGCAAAAGGCATATTACACATGAACTATAAATATCTCACATGGCCGAATGAAAGTTTTGTAAATGCCCATCCAAATTTACCTATAACCTTCAGTCTTTTCATATTGTAGGCAGAATATATATTTCATCCTAACCCATTACCGATATCAACTGTTGGTAAATCATCATTATTACAGTCAATCTTTTGATATAATTACAGTCAAATCATCTCAACTTGACTACGTTAAAATGAGCATAATGTCACTTTTAGTTAACCATTTATAACAAGCAATTATCATAGTATTGCAAGCAATCCATAAGTCCCCTACCGGTAAGAGCCCAAGCAACATTCTGAAGGGCCATTGGCCATTCACTTAGGTTCCTATTTTAAGTAAATTTGTCGAAAAAGTTCTTTAAAAGTGATCACAGGAAACAGTTTTTATGTACAGACAGACGGACTGAAGGACATCTAAATTTATTTTTTAAACATCCCTGTTATCAAAAAATAACATTTTTAAAATCCTATCATGATTGAAGAAGTTGGAGTAAAAATTACCAATTTCTCAAAAAAAGTCTAAGTTCAAAAGGGGCATAATTCTGGAAATAGTCTTGCTAGAGTATTGAACACTCATAAATGTTGAGTGATAATAAGAAACATTTATATGAAGTTTGAAGTAGATACATTCAGAAAAAGAAGTTATAAAAAAAACAATGTTTTTTTTCATGAAAATTTTAAGTTCAAGGGAG